CCTGGGCAGATTCAATATCTGTGCTTTTGTTTAATCTAACAAGTGGGTGCTACGTGTTTTCATATTGATATCTGAAGTTTACAGATTCTAGTTGTGGAGATTTTCTGAAGAAAGAAAAGTTCAAAGATTGTAATTTAGGAGTTATACGTGGTAGTTTTCTATGACAGTGAATACTTTAATAGCATTTTGAAATCAGTAAAAACTGTTTTTGAGAAGGCGTATTTCAGACATTTTTATTATTCTTCTAGAAGTTTCAGGATTGCAAGAATCTTTTGGTCAGAGTAAGTTAAGGTCAGTGTTAGACGACACTACAAATCTAGTCTGCTAAAAGCTGAATCATCTCTGTATTTGCTACAGTATTTATTTGCCTTGAGATCTTCTTTATGTGGTGATTAGCTTTAGAATTTTTTTTTTATGTTGGCCATGAACTTTCTAAGACTCCTTTCCCAAAATGGCAACTTTTTTTCTTGTGTCTAGTCCATGTTTTCATTCTGGTGTTTTAAATTCGATAAAAACATATTCTCTTACTTATTTCTGTTTTACTCTTTATCCATAAACTTCCTGAATCATAAAAGTTAGTTTTTTTCTGATTCTTGATGTCACAATGTAGAATTTTTTGTAACTTAAAATAATTGTAAAATAATATCAGTGACTTCTATGTGACTATTGCAAAGTTAATTATTTTCCAGATACTCTTCCCTCCCTGCCAGAGATCTAAAGTGATCCTAAAGAAAATTGTAAAAAATTATATCAGTGATTTAAAGGTGAATGTACAAATCAAATATGTATTTTCCCAATTCTGTCCCTTCCCCCACAGACTTAAACTAATTAAAAAAAAAATCTGTTGCTCCTACTTTGCCTTTCATATAGATTTGTAGATTTTTAGAAGTCTGTAAAGGGCAGATATGAAGACAGTTTAAGTGTAACATGTATTATATTAATGCTAGTTTGTGTCTTTGTTTAGATAAACCTGCTTTATTTCAGAGGATTGGTAATAGAGAGTGCTGGGGCTGCAGGGCTGGTATGACCCAGGGAAAGGGCTGTCCCACATGTGTCTAGATTTTCTGGTCTCTGGACTTCCGTGTCAGAAGACAGCAGCTTAACAGTTGTCGAGGTTGTGTTGACACTTTATGGGACTAGTATCTTAAAAATGACTCAAATTATTTTATTGTTGTTATATTGATACTGATCATTAATCATCAAATCATCTTTATGCTATTAATAAATGTTTCTAAGACTGATTTGTCTAGAACTCGAAAGCGATATCTTGAAAAGTTAAGTGCATCTACTCATATTAAAATCTTAGATATGTAAAATAGAGATCAAACTCTTATTTTCTAAGAGTGTATGCTCTTATAGGACTGATAACTATTAAGGTGGGATAGAAGGGATATGTTAGACTTATTCAAGGGGTGCTGTAGAAATATTCAAGAAGGTTTGATCAGACGTGGAAATCCAGAAAAGAAACTAAGGCATAAGCCAAGGTTGGAGAAGTCCTAGGGATTTAAAGATTTTCAGTATCTGCCGTTAGCAAAGCAGAGGCACTTAATTGTTTAGCGCTTTAAAAAAGAGCGTTTGGCAGAATTGTTAAGGTTTCAGTGATACACTTAGAAAGATTTCTCTCTGCCTCTGCACTGCTGGATTGATCATTCAGGTTCTCACATTTGATAAAACCTTGGCCTGGAGACACCGTGTGTTAGTTACATGGGCATGTAAAGACAGGACTGTTGAAGTCAACACTGAATATGAAAGTTATGTAGGATTGCCATGGCACTTCCATGGGGGTTTTGAGCAGTGCTGGAGAAATCTTAAGGAAGTTATTCCAAACATTTTTAGATGCTGTAGTTGCCTTAAAATACATTATTATCCTGTTGCAGCTCATCACATGGTTACCACATTCAGAAGTTCTCAGTTGGAAGGGTATTTGAGAATGTGTGTAGGTATTTTCGATTGTCAGAATTATTGGAGGCACTGCTAGTGTTGATTGCTCAGAGCAATGTTAAATGCCCATAAGGAAAGGGACTGTCTTGCTCAAGGAGTTGGCCAGTCCAAAATGCAGGGTTCTTCTGTTGAGAGACTCTGCCCAGGTCTTACTTCTTTGCCTTTAATACCCCTTGTTTCTGATATAGTTGAATAAAGAATTAAGTTTTTAAAATAACATTTGAGAATTCACTGTCAGATTTACAGTGTTTTTGTTGTTGTACAGTATTTTATGTATATAGATTGACAATTTTGTGAGTCCAAGAGGCAGAGAGGAAAAAATGAGGGTCTGGTTTTTAGCAATTAGCTATTGGAAGTCATAGGGAGGAGGCTCTCCCCACACAGATATATAGTGAATCTTTAAGAAAAAGATGTTATGATTTTTCTTTTCTCTGAAAGAAATAATAAGTACATTCTCATTTGGACAGAGAGGAAACAGGTAGTGTAGAAAGAAAAGATTATTAATTATGTAACAATCTGAATTATATTCTAACCTTTTTTTAATTAAGAAAAGATGATAGCCTGGGCAGGCTGGCTGCTCACGCCTGTAATCCCAGCACTTTGGGAAACCTAGGCGGGTGGATCACGAGGTCAGGAGATCGAGACCATCCTGGCTAACAAGGTGAAACCCTGTCTCTACTAAAAATACAAAAAGAAATTAGCCGGACGTAGTGGCGGGTACCTGTAGTCCTGGCTACTCAGGAGGCTGAGACAGGAACATGGGAGACCGGAGCGAGGCCTTTGCAGTGAGCGCGAGATTGCGCCACTGCGCACTCCAGCCTGGTCACAGAGCAAGACCTCTGTTCTTCACACAAAAAACACAGAAAGACAAGAAAGAAAAGAACAAAAAAAAGGCTGCATCACCCTGGCAACAAGGTGACTGACTCCGTACTTCTGCCAACAAAAAAAAAAAAAACAATTAGCCAGGCATGGTGGTGCAAGCCTGTTGTCTTAGTTACTTAGGAGGCTGAGGTGGGAGGATCATTTGAGCCCAGGAGTTCGAGGCTGCACTGAGCTGTGATTGTGTCACTGCATTCCAACCTGGGTGACAGAGTACTACCCCGTCTCCAGAAAAAAAGAAAAACATGAGATTCATTGAGATAATAAAGAATACAATGTTTTAAGTACTATTTTAGTTATTCAGTATCAGATGTTAGGATATCTCAGCTGTCTGAATTGTGCCTATGAGCTAGCAATGACAAAAAGTGAGGAAAAGAAAAGAAGTGTTAAAGAGGGAAAACATGAAAAGCAGATGGTAAGAAGGCAGCGTCTCAAAACAGCAGCTCCATCCTCCCATGCCCTCAGGACAAAAACCTCAGTGCCATCCCTGACTTCCTTTCTTTCTTTCATGCCTAAGATCTAAAACTGCAGTACATCTTGGGTGCTCGAGACCATCATGGTCAACATGGTGAAACTCTGTCTCTACTAAGAATACAAAAATATTGACTGGGCATGGTGGCGCACACCTGTAGTACTAGCTACTTGGGAGGCTGAGGCAGGAGAATTGCTTGAACCCGGGAGGCGGAGCTTGCAGTGAACCGAGATCACACCACTGCACTCTAGCCTGGTGACAGAACGAGACTCCATCTCAAAAAAATAAATAAAATAAAATAAAAATTCTATCCATCCCTCCCTCCGTCCGTCCATCCAGGATCCAGTTACTTCTCACATCTCTTCTACTGCCTGAGCCATGCCCCCATCGTCTCTTGGTTAGATTGGGCATCAGCCTCCCACATTGCTTCTTCATGTGCCCCTCACCGACTGTGTACCAGCCACACCAGCATCCTGGCTCCCTCTCTGCTTCCCCAGGCTCGCAGCCTTGTGAGGCTTCTCGCTTTCACTTCCACCTCCACCTCCATATAACATTTCTCCCCATACTTTCCTATTCGAAGCTCGTCCCTTTCCTGGCTTTTATGTAGACTGCCCCTTCTGAGTCCTTCTCTGACCACATTGTTGAATTTGCACACATAGAGGTAGAGACAGATTGTGATAACTATCTCCCTCTCCATAACTCTTTATTTTTTTCTAAAGCACTTTCATTTTCTGGCATGCCACATATTTTACTTATGTATTTACTGTAGCTGTCTTCCCCAAAAGGGCAGGGATCTTCCTCCTTTCCACTGCTCAAGGGCAGTGCTTGACACATAGTGGGTGCTCATTGGGAGGCAGGAGTAAAAAATGGGTGAAATGTAGTTTAGGTGCTTTAGCAGAAACCAAAATTATGAGACCTTGACCGAATTATCTTAAGCTCTTGTTAATTGAGGATGCTGGTGCTGTGCTTATTTTGGTGAAGGGGACCTGAGCTGGCTCACTGAAGGCAGCACAGTGCCTGCTGGTCCTTGGAAGAAGCTTCGTAAATGATAGTGTGATCATAATACCGATGATTCTTGTGAGAGGGAAAAGGCAAACAAAGGGAAATGGTAAAGCATTATAGCTCTTTCCAAACATCTTTTATTAAAACATTTGCATTTTACCGCAGAGGTATTTTGTTCTGTTCCTCAAAGAGAACTCCCCTGAGCCAGTGTTAATACATCTACCCATAAAAGCTTTGTAAGAGGACAAGTGAAACCCCTAACATCTTATTCACCTGGGGGAATAAGGTGTCATGCAGGGCCACCACGTGGAATTGGATAGTAGTCAGTAGGCATTTCTGGTCGAGGGTCAGGTGTGCACATCTGAGAGATGACTAACCTCATCACTATTTAATACCAAAATATACATTTTTAGCTTGATAACAATCTTAAGTCTTAGAGAAGAGGGTTGATTATGTTCAATATATGATGTTTACTAAGGCAGGACATGTAAATACAGATGAGAAAGATGCTCAGTATTAAAATGTAAAGGAATGGACTTCATGGTTTAACTTTCAATTCTCTGGCTTTTTTTTTTTTTTTTCCTTCTGAGTACTTGCTTACCAAGAGTTTATATTGGTTTGGCTAGCAGTGCGCTCTCTAACTGCTAAGAGAGCATCTAATCTAATTTATTAGATTAATTGCATCTAATCTAATAAGATGCAATCTCATGGAATACATCCTTATGCCAATAATGAATAAAAGTAGTTCAGACGGCCAGGCCCTAACTTAAATATAGTGCTTTTGGTGGTCAAGGGTGATCAGGTGAGTGGTTAAATAGATCAAGAAAAGGAAAGAAAAATCCAACTACCTTATTAAAAAACAAGGGTAAAATATCAAAACAGTGGATAGGCAGTAGGAAGAATGTATTCTTTGGGTTATTAACAATTAGAACATCATGTTACAATGTAAGCAGAGGCTTGTGAGTCAAGGAAGGAAAGATAAGTTATAAACAAGTACATAAAGAAATAGGAGAATTATGCCTAATGGTGTATGTATATAAACTTGTGGGAAATGTTTAGAACCTTACAGTGGAAGTTCTACTTACAGTGTCGTGATTTAATATATTTTGAATTACATCATATGACTCTTAAGGCATACATTGCAGAAAGGACCATTTTCAGAGATTATTATTTAGAAACGAACATGTCATATGCACTTACAAGAAATAATTTTGTCTTCTTAATTTACTGTACTATGAATACATTGAACACGGGTTTTTAAAGGGACAATGTAGCTGTTTCCAAACATCTTTTATTAAAACATTTGCATTTTACTGCCAGTTTTTTGTTCTTTTCCTCAGAGAGACCTCCCGGTGGCCAATGTTAGTAAATTCACCTTTCTAATTCAGAAACTTGAAAAACAGAATAATGTAATGGGGTCTAATGGTGTTTACATTCAACACAGTATTGGTAAAAGAAAAAGAAGGACACTTATATTGCATAATAAGGTACTCAATAATGCTTTGTATTTCTATTAACAAAGCTAATTTATTTCTTCTTAGGAATGATGCAGTTCCAAAGTAAAGATTTGATGTCATCCTAATGAGTCTGCTTTCAGTTGTAGAGTACAGTGAAGCCCTAGTAAAGAGGAGTAAGAAATCTATTTTACTGGAGATAATAAATCTGACAAGGAAGCTCTCAGCATAGATTGAAGTTGATTTGGCATAGAGTTGCTTTATAAATAGCCCTTTGAGCAAACTCTACAGTTCTGTATGTGGTTTTAAATCCCTGTAAATTTGTAGGCAGGTACATATTACAATTGTCTGTTTTTCTTTTTAGGGTTCATGTAATCAAAGAAGTTTCTTTGTTGTGTGTATCTTTACAGAACACAACAGGAATTGAAAATGAATCAGGTGAGTTTAAAAATCAGAATTTATACAAATACATGACCTAGATGTTAGACCAGCTCTTGATTTTTACAAGATAGTAGCACACACATTCATTTCTCCTGGATTCTCATTTTTGTTTCTTAATACCATTAATTAGTTCATTGCGTTCATACTGTGCGTTTGTTCATGCAGTGGATGGAATGTGCGTTGTTGGGGCGTGGGATGGCGTTTCTGTGGTTCCCTGAGTAGAGGACTCATTCTTAGGGATTTTCATTAAGACTTTCTTTTTGAATTCTCCCTTTCCACACTCTAGTGTGAGTTTTTTGTGTGTGTTTGTTTTGAAGCTTATTAAGCTTTCATTTTTGGCATTTTTTATTTTGTGATTATCTGTTGGTTGAAAAGAGAGGATTAAAAGTTATTTATAGAGACCGCAAATGTTCAAAGAAGAAACTTTAAGCATTTTGTCCTTGAAAAACCTGTTCTCAGAATAAAAACAAGAGGGCAGATATTGAAATGTAAGATGTGTTTCTCTTTACAGGAGATGTGGGATTACCTGGTGATTAAATTATTCTGCTATGGATATTTTCATAGCCTCAAGGGTGTTCTGATAAGTAGAACCAGTTATGTGGATCTAATAATATATTCTAGAGTAGGATTCTTATTTTCTGGTTTCAATATCATCTCACTTGTAGTTATAGAAATTCGTGGGTGTCAGAAATGTTCTCTTTTTAAAATCTTCATAAGCACTTATTTTTAAAATAAGAAGGACAAAACCAAAAATATGAAGTATGTAATTTTTTTTTAAGTCCTTAACTTAAAACTCTCAGACTTGAGAACATTTTGTATCCCTCATCAACTGAAACCTCGGACACCTTTTTATCATTTACAGGTGATTCTAACTAGAGATCACAAGTTCAATTTAATTAGCGGGGCCAAGTTTAATAAATTCAGTCCTCTGTTGCATTGAGAGATGTGAAATTTTTGAAATGGATCCTTCTGATTTCTTTTCATTACTTTCTTTATCAGAAATGTTTATTTTAATGCAGAGGACGTATATCATAAAAAATGAATCTGGCCAACACATGGGGCACATGCTTTCTATTATTTTAAAACTTGCAGATTTATTGACATGCTTTTGAAGGCAAATTATTTTTGAAATGGTGAGGTGGGGGAGGGAAAAGAGAACAAAGTGGATTTCACAGTCATCGTCCATCAAAGTTATGCTCATATATATTTCATAGATTTCATTTATTTTCCTATTTTAAGATTGATTCTTAATATGAACCTGGTCACTCAAAGGAGCTCAGTTTTCTATCGTCTAGGAACTGTTTTGTTGGAGGAGTCTTGATCCAGTGCTAGAATGGTTGTGAGTTCTTCCAAAGTGGAATCTAAATGTTGATACTGTTCTTGTTGCATTGCTATTCAGAATCATTTATTTGATGTGTCTACACCTTTAACCTTATGATTAATTATGCCTTAATTCTTGTACAGTATTAGGCTTGTAATATTTCTAGTGTATTAGACTTGACACTTCACACTTTTGCTTTATATTTCAATTATATCAAACTTGTGTTTAAAAAAGTCTGCATGCCAGTCAAAAAGTGGTAGCAATAACTACTTCTTTTTTTTTTTTGGGGGCTCTTTTACAATTTGATTTTGCTTTTGACAAGTTTTAATATCAGATCTGCAGAAGACTGCCTTTGATCCTAAATGCCAAGTATCAGTGGAAAAGTGTCCTCTTATGTTTCTAATGGTTAACACATTTCTGATTTGGGTGTAATTTAAATGGTCTGGTAGTAATGAAACTTTTACTTGTATTATAAAAATTGCCCACTTTTTATGAGAAAAATTTTTAGCATCTTTTGTTGTATTTTCATTATTAGAAGAATATTAGTTATATGCTGTTTAGACCTTATTGTTATGACATGAAATCTATCAGTGTTTTTCAACAATCACCCCAGTAATTTTTAAGGATTAAGACTTATTTCAGGATAATTTACAGTTTTCCCTTCTCGTATTTATTGCTCTCATTTTCAGACAGTGAAAATGAGCAGTAAGTGCTCGAAAAACGGAGAAATAACCACACAACAAAATTCAAATATAAAAAAGTTTGAACTTGAACAAGATTGACTTATAAATACTTATACATACAATCCTGACGGTTATTTTAGGGTTAGGTTATTCTCTGGGAACGGATCAGCATTGCTTTGATGGATTTTAGTTGTCAGTTCTGTTTCTTATGATGTGTATGGTCTTGAAGACAATAGCATAGAATAATTTGTTTATATATGCCTGACAGTTGAGTTTCAGGGACTGCGGGATCCTCGTCATGGGCATATCATATTGTTTGTTATTGATTCCTTTAGAAGAAGCAATAGAGTCCACAGCCTGCCAGTATTTTCAGCACTAACTATTGAGGCAGCATTCTCAGATCATCGGTATCCTACTTGCTTCAATTGCACACCCATCCTGATACTTAACTTTTGAGATGTTCCACTGTTTTCCTTCTTATTTTCCTAGACTTATCTAGGAATGGCTTTATCTCGGGAATGGGTCCATTATCTCAGTTGTCCCTAACATTCATTCATTCCTTCCCTCTTTCATCAGGCACAGACTGTACCCCAGTATGTTATGGGTTCTGCAGTGAACTAGGTGGGCAAGGGCTCTGCCAGTAACATACTCCAAGAGGGAGACGGTTAAAAAAGCAGGAAGACAAGCAAGGTAATTTCAGATAGTGAACAGTGCTGTGAAGACAATTAAACAAGATCTTGTTATAAAGGATGATGGCTGGAGGTGAAAGGTGGTCTTTGGATTACATGGTCAGAGAAGACTATTCTGTGGAGGTGATTGCTAGTAGAACTGAAACTTAGGTAATAACCGGGAGCCACGTAGACATATGAAGATCTGGAAAAAGAAAATTCCAGGCAGAGTGAACCCATAGTAGTACAAAGGCCCTGGAGTGGAAATGAGCGTGGTAGTTCACAGAACAGAGAGCAAGCCATGGTCTGGAGCTTGGCCCCATCAGGGGCTCTGGGATAAGAGGACATTGGTGTGAGAGCTAAGGTTTATAGGGCCTGTAGGGCTACTGGACAGTGACACAAGCTGATTTCCATTTTTAGGATATCCTCCCCACTATGCTAGGGAAACCGGATTGTAAGGGAGCAGGAGTGTGGTGATAATGTGTGTTCACTACTGAGATTAGCACCAGGCTTTAGGACAGTTTCTTCAGTTGGACAACTTAGTGGACCTGACAGCTTTTTGAAAGAGGGTACTTTTTTGTATTTCAGAGCTAATTTGACTCCTGTTCCTTTTCAAAAGTGGTGTATAAGTGTTTCTTGGTTTGTGTTTTCATCTGTTTATTGTTATATCAGTCCTGCTCATTTCTTAACCAAATATAATTTAATGCCATTTCAGTAAACTGAAGCTTGTTTGATTTTTTTTCGCATCGTTTGTTCCAGCATAGTAGCTTAGATTCTTATTTGCAAATCTATACAAAAATGGGTTGTTCATAGAATTTTAGAAATTTTAATACTGTGTGATTCTAAGCTGTTTTTTGCTTGTAACAATTACTTTGATGATGATGATTAGTCTATTGTAGCAATAATACATATTTTAGTATGAATATATTATGAATTGTCCTTAATATTAAGGAAAATTGGGTCTAATGTATTCCATCACGTATTGCTGTCACTTTCCAGTTAGTTTTGATCAAGTCAATATTTAAGAAACTAGGTGCTTTAAATGGATTAAACTGATAGCATAATTGCTGATAATTCTCTGGGCAAAGCATATAAAAGAAGTTACTTATATAAATTTAAATGAAACACCAATAAAATTTGCTTATTCTTATATATTTTTAAAAATAAAAACATTAGTACGTATTGACCATGTGAGATGGTGCATGCAGCTTTATGTAACAGCAGCCAATGCCAGTGTTACGCCCTAGAGCAGAGTTACCTTGCTGATTACAGTCCACATTTGTCTAAAGAGTATGGAGAGAAGGGCTGGGCAGGGAGAGTGGAGGAGGTTGGTTCTGTGGTTCATGTACCTGGAGCAGACCTGAGGAGGGTGGAGTAAATGGTCAAAGAAGTGTGGGCTCAGCTCTCGGGTCGCCAGAAGGACCAGAGTAGACTTTGCCAGTGAGGTGGGGAAACTTCGGGGGGTTTTGAGTAGAGGACTGTTAGAGTTGAGTTAAAAAATTCTTATAAATACAAATAATGAAACTATTCTACAGGGCAGAACCAGGACTTGGTTGAAAATAATAATAATAAAAAATATTAACTTACAGTGTTTCCTATATGTCAGGCACTAGCCGAAATGCTTTACAGAAGTTCAGTAAGTCATTTACTATTGACTGCAACTGCATGAGGTGGGCACCATTACTATCCCTATTTGACAGATAAGAAAGTGAACACAATTGAAAATATTTTCTTGGTGCATTAAAGTTTCATTTTAACATGATTTAAAGATGAGAATTTAGGATTTATTGACCTGTTTAGTTATTTGACTTTAAAAATCAACTCTGAGGTACAATCTGCATACAGTAAAAGGTAACTGCTTTAACTGTATAGTACAAGTTTCACACCCGTGTAACTCTTAACCGCTGTCGAGTCATAGGACATGTCCGTCACCCCAAAAAGTTCTTTTCTGCTGCTCTGAAGTTAGTCTTTCCCTGCCCAAGGTCACTACTGATCGACTTTCTGTTCCTACACACTGGTTTTTCCTCTTCTGGGGTTTCATGGGAGTGGAATCATACAGCCCTTGCCCTTTGGCGTTTGTCTTGTTTTGGTCTGCATACAGTTTCTGAGATTCAGCCATATTGTTGCATGTATCAGTAGTTCATTTCTTTTTTTTTTTTTTTTTTGAGACGGAGTCTCGCTCTGTCGCCCAGGCTGCAGTGCAGTGGCCAGATCTCCGCTCACTGCAAGCTCCGCCTCCCGGGTTCGCGCAATTCTCCTGCCTCAGCCTCCCGAGCAGCTGGGACTACAGGCGCCGCCACCTCGCCCGGCTTATTTTTTTGTATT